CCATAAGAGCGTGTTTAAACAAGTGGATGCAACTGAATTTAGCCATAAATAAATAAGGATTTATTTCTGCACAGCTGAACTCCAGGGTACTACAGAATATGGACTTCAGCAAATCAGACCCCAGCACACCCTACTTACCTGACAGGTCTGGAACAGTAATTGTAAAACCAGGGCCAGGACAAAATGAGTGGCTTGCTGTCCCCTAAATACATGCTGTTACTTAACACAGATTGATAAGAATAAAACAACTATGATTCTATGATTCCCCCCAGACCGAACACCCATGGTCTCTTAAAATAAAGACTAATATGTTGATTTTTTTTTTTTTCTTCTTTAAAGTAGAAAGGCAGTCAGAGCCATCTTGAACCAAATTTATTTTACACATTATCCCATTTTTCTCCATTGTCATTTGTTATATTTCTGTATCTATATGAAAAGTGATTTCAGCATAGAATAAAAGTTTCAGCAATGCAATCCAGAGTAATTTTTTCCACCTTCCTTTTACATAGGCTTTACATTTCCCTAAAGTCCAGCCAAGGATAGAGCATATTTTATGGCAGAGCCTGTGCATCCTGGTGCTGACATGAACAGTAGTAGGAGTGAGGTGAGATGTTGGGCAGCATGGGGCTGGAGTGGATTAAAGATGAGCCTTTACTGAAATAACTCTGTGCTGTGTGAAAGCTTCAGTATAGTTTATTTAATAATGTTTCATTTTCTTGGGCTGTTCAGCTAATAACTTTTGAGTACTCAGCTTGCCATTTGCACCACCAAAGATTTCATCTGTCACTCCGGGTTTATGTTTCTGGTTGGTCTCAGCATGTGTCTGGAGTAAAAGCTGCTTTATATACCCACTAATGGATTTGTCTTGGTTTTCTGTACTTTACTTAAGTAAGGCTTCAAAACAAAGTGAAGAGGTCCATTACAGAATGAAGGATAGCTGCTATCTTCAACTAATAGCCCTGAAGGGTATTTGAGGGGTAAGCTTGGTTTCTAGTGACATGTTCCTGTGTACTCCTGATGTGGCTTTTTAGACTTAAAGAGCATTTCAGATACATTCCTCTGGCAGAAAATATTCTTGCTTGCTTTTAGCTAGACCTGTGTTCTTCAGGACTTGTTTGTAGTAAGACAACTTTTTGTCTTTTTCAGTGGATAAACATACGATACCAGCATTGTTGCTGTGGACTGTATTTCTTATGGTGAATATGCCATAGATTTGTGGAGGCCCAGCCCCACAACCACTGGTTACTCTTTGTGGTGGCTGAAATCTTGGTTTCCTTGATGCCTGACAGTTTTTCCATTGACTTGAATGAATTCAGAACTTAATAATGTGTATTTGTGTTTACATGTATCCATCTATATATTTATCAGATAGGTATATACAATACATTTTATGGCCATTCTTAGAGACCTGTTTTGCCTCATAAAGAGAGAATCTTTATGTCTGATGCACAAGACTTCTAGTAGTCTTGTACCTCTAGGGAGCTGTTAATCAAAGGCTCATGATGACTTGAATTCCTTAGGAAGGACATCAGGAATCTGCATCAGGAACTTGTGACTCGTGTTCTTGGCTTGGATGTAGGACATTTGCAGCAACCTTCTGCTTCATGGAGCTCTTCTCCTGGAGAATGAGATCCTCTGAATGGGGCAGTATAAATGTCAAGTGGAGTTGAGGCTAATTTTAGGATTTGAGTATTTCTTGTATGAGCTCTGATAGATGGTTGTCCTCAGACTGAGACATTAGCTACTCTCCCAGTGTCTCAGCTGATGAAGTTTCTTTTCCCATGGGAATGCCTCTTACAGGGTACATCTCCATCTAATTTCATGAAACAATTAAAAATTAGTATCTCTGAGACCTCCACCACCCTTTGGAGGTAACCAGAGGTGTGAAGGCAGTTGGCCACTCTCTTAGTCCAGCACTGATGCTGAACATGACTCTGTAAGCCTCCTTCCTTCAGGCTAAACACATGTTTTAACCCCACTGCTGGCAGTTGTAAAAAATGCATGTTGTACAAGGGATTTCAAGTTCACATGCTGATAGGTGCCCTCCACTCTGCATGCAGCACTGCTGTATTGGATAGGTAGACTGTTCAGCAAATATGCTTCGCAAACTAAGACTTTATTAGCATCTGTAAAATTGTCTATAGTCTTCATGCTGGCAAACACCCCCTACACATCCCATTATACATGTGCAAACTCATTTGGGAAACAGCTGATAAATTATTTCATTTTTTCTCGGGTTGCTCTTTGCACTGTGGTGCTGGTGGTGTTTGGTTGTTTGCTCATTCAGGGCCTCAGCAGCAACAGTATCATTTTACCCATGTGTCCAGTGGTTGGGCTTGGGGGAGCTGCTCTGCCTGGATGGAAGGGGAGCCTCAACTGTGCCATGCCTGAGATGTGGGCTCTGCCACACCAGCCTCTGTGCCCCCAGGCAGGTAGGCCCAGGGTAGGCAGGATGTTCCATAGAATTGTTTTCCTTGGAGAAAACAACTTTAAGTTTGAATCCAACCATAACCCAACTCTACCAAGCATTAACCTAACTCTGCCAAATCCAATGCTAAACCATGCCCCTAACCACCGTATCTATATGCTTTAAACACCTCCAGGATGGTGATTCAACCACTCCCTGGGCAGCCTGTTACAGTGTTTGATAACCCTTTCGGTGAAGAAGTTTCTTCTAATATCCAGTCTAAACATCTTGAGTAACTTGAGCCCGTTTCTGCTTGTTCTGTTGCTTGTTACTTGGGAGAAGAGATCAGCTTCCACCTCATTACAACTTCCTTTCAGGTAGCTGTAGAGAAAGATAAGGTCTCCCCTCAGCCTCCTTTTTTCCAGGCTTAGCAACCCCAGTTCCCTCATCTGCTCCTCATAAGACTTGTTCTTCAAACCCTCCAGGTTTCTCTCTGCTGCAAAAAATGGGGTCGTGCCTAAAGGTTCTTTGATGATCAAATTGTGCTGACAATTTTAAGTATCCAAGTTTTGATTACACATTTCAAAATTGTTCTTAAGGCACTTTTTTCTTTTTTTTTTCCCCCTCGTGGATGAATTTCCATTTACAGAAATGGATTTTTTTTCCTATCAAAAGAAAATAGAGAATTTTAGTGCTTTGAGGATTTCCATAAGGAAATTACAGAAGTCTTTTTCTTGTGCTGTTTTCTTTCCTAGTTGAAAAAATCTTAACAAAAAAGAAGGAGCATGACAAGCTTCTTGTAAACATTAGATGTCAGAAAAGTAAAACCATAGAAAAAAGTTAAAAAATAAAAATGAGAGGAATGAATATGAAAACTTTTATCCCAGTCAACCAAATGAAATTCAAAACAAAATAAAGGTTTCTAAAATGAATAAAATAATTGTATAAAATAGTGTTTTCCCTTTTGCTTTCTGGGGAGAAGACACTTCCTCTTGTTCAGTTGTGTTAGGCTGACATTGAGAGACCTTTTCTGGGAGTGCATGGTAGGGAAGCTCACTGAGTTTTATTTGGCTAAAAGAAAAGATGGGGAGGTGTGAGGAATCAACTAGATGAGATTAATTTAATTTGTGTTATTTCCTTTTGCAGATACTTTCAAATGTAGTTATGCACAGAACAGAACAGTGCATGCATATTAATGCAAGTAGAATTTAGTATAATTTAATGTAATTTCTAAATATGCACACATACTCTGCTGTATATGCAGGATGGTGAAGGTTTCTCTGGGAACTCATAAGTTTGAGAACTGTGTTTTGTGCCGTTGTGGGATACTTTTAAAGGGCCTAATTAAAAAATATCTGAACAAATACTGAAGTTTTAATTATTTTATTCCTGGAATATTTGCTTTTCTGATATTTTCTGGTTTAGCTTTCTAATGCTGCATCTGATACTTCGGTGTGGACTGGCAAATTTACATATGTTTCACTATTTGTCTTACTTTAAAAAATGTTTTTAGATAAAAAACATAGTTAACCTGGAAAAAAATCAAAAGTTAAACTACTACTGCCATATCTCTTAAAAACCCCCAGATAATTAAGGTGCTTTGCCTTTTTTAAAAAAAAAAACCCAAACAATAAGCTAAACAAAATGGATTAGTAACTATTACATGGCAGTCTAAAGATGACTTTGCTGTATATATTTAAGTTGTTCATCTGCTGTAGTAGGTGCTTGAGCTTCAAAAAAGAAAGATTATACTCAACAGGGCTTGGCAATATTAAATGATGTGATCTTTTTACAAGGTCATCAATCTAAGAAAAGATTATGTGCATTTATCTGAAACATGTAATTACATATTGCAGGTGGCATCCTTGTATCCCCAAATTTAACATAGAAAATTCTAGGACTGATGAATACCATGTTCCAGACTTATTCCTGAAGCCACATAATTTGTGTACCCTCAGAAGACAGTTAAGTAACTGCTAAAAGGTTGCTATTGCTCTTAACCAGAAACACCTCAAAACCCTAGTGTACGTTACTTTCTGCTTTCAAGATCCTCGAGGAGTCAGCCTTATGTAATACCCTTTGTAGATTTAAAACATCACCCAGAGAAAGGAACAAGGGGAGCACGTGGAAATTCCTTTTTAGCTGATAACTTTGTAGAAGCTGTTATTTCAATCCCTTGGAAAAATATAGGAGTAAACTTTGGGTGTAAGCTTCTTGTGTTAAGACTCAGGTTTTGGTATCGTTATGTTTTCAGAAAACTACAATTTGCATAAGTACATTTGTACATGTAATAAAATGCAGAGATATTAAATCAGATCAGGAGACTAAAGAAAAGATAAAAAATGCTTTTGGTGTGTAATATTATTGTAGTTTTTTCTGGCTTGGCTGATGGTCTCAATGTACATAATCCTGCTCCACAGGATGAGTTCAACTGACCTGTTGAGACTTTCCAACTTTACATACCCATGAATTTTGACAGTTTGCATTCCTTTGTTTTAAAATTTTGACAGGATGTACAAAGAAATGAAACTCAGAACTCCATGTCCGTGGTCATTGCTCCTTTCCTAACTGAATCTCCCCTTAACATTCACAGGTACACACTGGTGGATATTTTGCGCGCCATACTTCTTTCTTTAGAAGCCATGATAGAAGACCCTGAGCTTCAAGTGAATGGATTTGTTTTGATTATAGACTGGAGCAACTTCACCTTCAAGCAGGCCTCTAAGCTCACACCAAGCATGCTTAGATTAGCCATAGAGGGCCTTCAGGTAACCTTTTCTTTCTTTTCTTGATACTTCTTCATTCTGCAATACATTGCAAATCTAGGTGGCAAAAAAATCCCAAAAAAACCAAGAATCCAAAATTTTATGAATGGCAAAGCTATTAAGCCCCTTAAGGTATGGGCAGAGGGACAAGCTTCAGAAGCACAAGCTAACCTGGGAGCTCTGTCGGCTCACTGCAGAAACCTCTGGTGTGTAGGTTTCTTCTGCCATAAATAAGTAACTTTTCTGTCTTTATTCCAATGGGTCTGGCTTCCTGTAACTTCAAACGATAGCTTCTGCAGCAGAAAGTTTCAAGTAATCAATTCAACTTGTTGTTTTGCATAGGGCTAATGAAATAGGGGTTGCTACTGCTGCGCTTGTTTTTTTTTGTTGATTCCATCGGAGACAGGCTCTGCGTTCTCTGTCCTCAAAAGTGGAGGGCACTGTGATTAGGCAGTTAACTGGGACTGTTTACGTACTGAAAGTTCAGCATGTGCTTTGCTCTTTTGCTGGGTCAGGATTAATTTAAGCAGCAGCTTTTGGGACTGAGTATACAGTGATTTAAATTTCTTTCTGCTCATTGTAAATGCACTTTACATGGCACAGGCACATTGGTGGAAAGGATGCTGAATCACTCTTGGCTGTCTCCTATGATCTTTAATGCTTATTAAAATGAAAAACTAGAAACTGTAAAGTAGTTGTTTACTGTGCCAACCTGAGTTGCTTAAAAATACCAGTAATTCACTCCTATGGCAGTGTGCCTTGGTTTTGCAAGGATGTATCCTCCTTTTCTGTGATGTTTTTATAATGTATACATTTTTATTACTCATAAAACAAAATAACAGCCTTATCTTTGAACTTTCTCACTCTGATATTGTTATTTTTGAAGAAACTTCTATAGCAGTAGGATGGAGTTTTGATTTAAATCTTGAAGTGGCTTAAGCATTATTCAGCCTGCTGTTGCACACCAAAATGTAGTGATAGTCATGAGACAAAGATCTCAATTTTCATTTTGTTGCGTTTCCTTATGCCACAGTGGGATTCCATGGTCCTGAGAACTACATCAGAAGGCAGCAGTGAGATCTATACGCTTAATAGTGCACATTTTCTTTTACTGCTTTCAAAGTTTTCTTTTTTGTGCTGTTTTTTTCAAAGTTAGTAATTCTTTTCCTGTTAAGAACATGAATAAATATTTCAGTAGTCTTTCTTTTTAAATGGTGGCGTTTCTTCTTGGACATTATTCAGAGATGGTTATTTTGAGAGCTGCAGTGGATAATTGCATCTGAAAATATGTGTGACCTACCAAACTTCAGCTGGACTCTGTGTTCTTCTGCTGTTGGTTGCTTCACTGCTGAGTTGAGGTGAAGTCCATTGGCTTGATTCACTCATTTGTACATTTGAATAATCTCAGGCTGATGGTGACCAGCACCCAAGACATAATTTTTTGCCCACTGTTTCCAGTCCTGTTTATTCTGGGAATGTACATCTGGGCATGAAATGCTCCAGAAGAGGGAATAAGAAGGCATTGAAGTGGCAAATGTAAGATAAAACTTCCCCAACAATTGAGGAACCTGGCCTCATCTGTGATCAGTATGGTTATCTGTAAGCAGCAACTTTTACCACAGATCCTTTGAAGAAATCCATGAGTCGCTGTCTTATTGGGGAGAACTGAAGATATGAGGGCTAACATTCTTATAGTAGCAAAACTGACTGTCTCTCTAGTGGTATTTTCCCATTAGTTATACTACCTGGGGGCTTGGTTTTTTGTTTGCCCCTTCCTCTCCTCCCATCTTTACTTTTAATTAGACATTTTTCTATGTGACTATATGTTACAATCAGTGCAAAGGGCTATAGAAAACTGTACTGAGCATCTTGGAGGGTGAATCTCACTTCAAAAACAATTGCAATCAGGACGGAAATAAAAGGAAATCATGGTAGAAGGGTGGTACAGAGATTTAATGCCTGAAATGTTACATATCCTTACTGTCAACAAGGACTGCCTTCTCTTTTATTTTGGATAGAAATGCACAGCAGAAACCTCGTTCTGAATGATGGCAAAGTAAAAAGTGCTTAGTCAGGTGGTATGAAGAAGAACAAGAACAACTCATACACACTTTTTATTTATGGTCTTTATTGTAAATACTCCTTGTTCAATCAAAGAAATAGAATTTACTTTGTATTATAAGATTTAATAAAGCTCAAGATGCTGAGCTTTACCATTTGGGGAATATAAATATTGGTCTTACTTGGGTGGAAAGGAACAGGGAATGTGGGATTAGTGACCACGGAATTTGATGTTAACCAAATCCCTTTGCCTCCGGAATGAAATCTATGAAAATCTATGAAATCTAAGCATTCTATTTGTTTAGCTTCCATAGTGAGCAGAACTCACCAAAGTGAGTTAATTATAACTGTTTTTTTTGTTTTGTTTGTTGTTTGGCTTTCTTAAGAAATTGCTTTTGGAAGTAAGATAGGTAAATACATACAGCTTCCTACTGAATACAAGTTCTGCTATATACTTTGTTTGCATATGTATACTGAGTAGGAGCATGAAAAGAATCATACCCTGAACTAACTTCTATACATTAGTAAAACCTCCCAGGTAGCTATTTCCAGGAAAAGTGTCTTTTGGCTGTGGCATTTTTAATGTTAAATGATAGTGATTGTCTGTAAACTGATGTGAATTTCCAGCATACTGTAGAAGATCATCTAGTTCCAGCCCCCTGTATGGGCAGGGGCACCTCCCACTAGATCAGGTTGCTCAAAGCCCCATCCAACCTGGACTTGAACACTTCCAGGGACGGGGCAGCCACAGCTTCTCTGGGCAACCTGTTCCTCCTCCTAATGTATAACCTGTGTTTTTATCCATTATCCCTTGTCCTTTCAGTACAAGCCCTTGTAAAAAGTCCCTCCCCAGCTTTCCTTTAGCCCCTTCAGATACTGGAAGGTGACTGAAGTCTCCTTGGAGCCTTTTCTTCTTCAGGCTGAAAAACCCCGACTTTCTCAGCCTGTATTCACAGAAGAGGTGCTCCAGCCCCCTGATCATCTTTGATCCCAGCTATGCTGTACCAACCAATTGGTGCAGTGTAGGTCAGTGCTGAATTTTAGAACAAAATAGTTTTGCTAACCAAGATGCAAATACATCCTGTGGAGGCTGGGGCGCTTTGCTGAGACTCTTTATATTCCAGCCCTAGGTGATTCCAGCCTCAGAAGGAAAAAGATAGCAATATTCTTTCCTGTGGGTGCTGGTGACTGCAGTATTTATGTTGTCCCTAAACAATGAGAAGGAGAATTTGCACTTAAAACCCCTATGCCTTCTGTAGCGAAGAACAAAAACATAAACAAATACAACATGTAATAGTCTTTATTTTGTGAGAAGTGTCTGTCTGGATTAGGTGCCTAGGTTTTGGCTCAGAGCTGTGAAATCTGAGCAGAAGGAGTGCTGAGACAGAAATCCATTCTCTGACTTCAGTCCCTTTTGTTGACTCTCCTCAGTGAATTCAATGCATGGATGTCTCTGAATCCCAGTGTTCAGGTGCTCACTTTTCAGCTACTTTCTATAGCAGAGCACTGAATTTTGGGCTTGTGAAGGAGCTCATGTTACTCATGGGAAATTCTGGGTGCTAAAAGTTTAGTTGTGTTTAGGGAAAATGCAGCAGTTTGTGGAAGATAAATGAACTGAAGATTACTAAACATGTAAAAACAACATCAAAGTTCAGAATTCCTCAGGCTGCACATAATTGGAGGTGAGGTGAATGCTGAGTGGAAATACCACGTACGCTGTCTGCATTGTATCTGCTGTAGGCTCTCAGTTTTGGTCTCTGTGAAGGACAGGATGTGGGGTTTGATGGACTTCTGATGGGACATAATTGTGTATATATATTCCACACCCCTTTCCCCCATTTTAAGTAACCTTTCTCTCATTTTACTCCTCCTGGCACTCCCATGGCCCCAAACACTGAGCTGGGAACACTTGAACAGAGGGAGGAGGTTCTTGATATGATTCCTTTTTTTGGGCTAGTCCTTTTATAGCTACCTATGTGGGCTTTTCTTTAAGTATCAAGAGAGCATTGTTTTCACAAAGCAGTTAAAAACAGTGTCAAAGACCAAAAATTAAATTTGAAAATTGTATTGAAATTTGGGGTTTATTATTAACTCTAATAAACAGCTTTGGGGGCAATTGTAAGTGAGCTTTACAAAATGTAAAATTGTGAGTATGCAAGAGACACTTATTTCATTAACTGATATTTAGGATTCTGAACCCTGGAACACTAAATCTTCTTAAATGCTTGATTTCTATTTAGCTCATAATAATAGTTGAATATATGACAGATTTGTTTTGCGTGTTGCCACTCAGGCTGTACCTCCAAACACTTTGCAAAACTGCCTGTTTATTGGTGGCTGAATATAAATGCCTTTCCTCTAGGTAAAAAGCTGGGGCAAAAGAGATGATGCACATTTAAACTGGGAATGGGACATAATGTGGGCAGGCAGCATTGTTGCAGAAGACAGAGAGGACTCTTGCTGTTGGGTTGAGGATGTTTACAGGAAGAAAGAGCGACAGTGTTTTGGGGTAAAAGGCAGGTCTTTCAGCTGCTCGTGACTTTTTTTTTGTTAACAAAGGATGGCTTTGTAAGCTAAAGCAAACTCGTTACTGTGAACATGAAAGCAAAACAGAAAGAACAGGAAGACAGCATGCTTACAGCTACTATTGCTATCTAAAACATCTTTGAAACAGCTGTTCTTGTGAGTTGTAAGAGTAATATCCTCAATCAGATTTGCTGCAATAGGGTAAGGTGAAATTAACAGAGACCAGAGCGTGGACAATCTGGTGATGAAAAGGACAGGATTTTCTACTCCCATTTTCTTTGAACATAAAATTCATCACTGTCTTACAGGGAATCTTAACTGTACATCATGGCTGATTCCCCTTTCTATTTAGACATACACAGGCAATGCTTAGAACTCACCACCTAGTTGTGGACTACATCTCTACAGCCAGCAGC